ATAATGAAATCTTCAAGTATGTGAAGAAGCAGGTAGTCACCACGCCCACAACACCCACCTTGAAACACACTCAGAGAAGACTCTATCAAGTAGAGGTCCAAGCCGCACTGCACACTAGATATTTGTGATGGGCTACACCTGCTTTTACTTGTCGCCCTCACTGTGGTTTCAGGGTTTTCTTTCCAGGTGCTACCCTATAAAATTAGACTGGACCAGAGACAACCCACCAAGTAAGCGTTTGGTTTTGCTTTGCTTTGCTCCCAAACAATTTCATGACGGGGTCCATCTATGTCCTTCTAGGAAATGAGTCCACCAAAACATGAAATTTTTAAAAAAGAATGGTATCTGTCCACAAGATCGGTTCATTTTTTATTTTGTAATGAACATTTAAGATTCATATACAAAAGCTAACAGAGCAGTACGTCCAGTCATGAAATACATACAAGGAAACAAAATGGAAAATAACTCAATTACAATTTCTCACCACCGAAGCACTACACGCGGGCTGCAGGGAGAGGTGGTCAGCGTCTCAGAGACAGCACTCACATGGGCCGGGTGAGGAGAATGTCATCAAAACACTGTTTTAACATCTCTTTTCCTTCCTTGGCTATTGTTCAGTTAGTGGGTGGTGTGGGGTGGCGTAAGAAATGTTTCTTTTCCCTCCCCCAAAATTTAAGCAGTTAATTCAGTTAATTTTTTCCCCAGGGAAATATTTCATTTGTGTATCTAACATGTGATGTATCTGTTATTAATCTGCCTGCATAAGCATTTGCCTATTCTATTCTTCATGTAAGATCATGCAATACTTTCCTAATGTCAGAGCAGTAAGAATTATCAAAGGCAATTCATTTTGTATGTAAATGTCCAAGTTTCCTCATCATGAAAAATGTACTCTTCGTGATCTCTGTTTCTCACAATATAGTTGGTCAAGTAATAATCATGGAGAGTTTCCTAAAATATTTATTTGCTGGGAAAATTTGTATGAAATGACGAAGTATAAAAAACGTTGTTAGGTAACACTTGAAGCAGTTAAAAATATACTTATCTTGTTTGTAAACTATCAATGTCTGATACTGGGCATCTGAGTGTTAGCCACCATATCCTGTTGTTCTAGAAAGTTGTTTGCTCGATTTATCCATGGGACATATTGGAAACATCTGAAGTTACATATAGAAACATCAAGGCAATATTATTTGTACATATTATTAAACATGCAAAACTTTCCTGAAAGATAGTGCCCACATATGGAGAGCCCCCTGGTGGGCACGGCCTCTCCTTGGTACAATGTCGCTGGAAGTATGGCGGTCTTGGAGTTTGGGAGTGTGGCGTGTTATTTTGGAGAGGCGGCTCCTTTTATCACCGGCTCCCTATTCAAATACGTGGCCCAGTAAACCAAGTTGAAAGTGCCAAACAAGACTGGGAATACGATTCGGGACATTTTGTCGATTTTGCTGATACTGTTGTAAGTCTTTTTGCTTTCAGAAGTCTTCTCTTCGGAGGGTTTTACTGAGACTGAAGTTGTATTCGAGGTCCCTGCTGGGGTCTGTTCCTTCGGGATGTTTGGGGGGTGAGACAGCTTCCCAGTTGTAAAAGCATTTGTTGACTTATTTAGTATGACTTCACGCTTTTTCTGCAAAATATAATAGGAACATGAAGACACTTGAAGGCAATGGTCAGCTCACCTTGGCATTCTAAAGGTAGATCTCTCAAAAGAGAGAAACCCATGTAGCCTGGGAGAGGGCCCTTCTCCACTGATGCCTCCAGGTAGCCTGCAGACTGCACACACATGAGAGCCATGACTGCTATTAAACTCTGGCAATCCCATTACTGGGCATGTACCCAGAGGAACACGGATCATTTTACCATAAAGACAGATGCATGAGAATGTTCATTGCAACACTTTTGACAATAGCAAAGACAAGGAATCAATCTAAATACCCATCAATGACAGACTGGATAAAGAAAGTTGTGCTACATATACACTATGGAATACTACGCAGCCATAAAAAAGAACGATAAAAAGAATGAGATCATGTCTTTTGCAGGAACCTGGATGGAGCTGGAGGCCATTATCGTTAGCAAACTAACACAGGAACAGAAACCCAAATACCACAGGTTCTCACTTACAAGTGGAAGCTGAGTGATGAGAACTTATGAACACAAAAAGGGGAACAACAGACATGGGAGTGGAAGGTGGGAGGAGGGAGAGAAGCAGAAAAAGTAACTACTGGGTACTAAGCTTAGTACCTGGGTGATGAAATGATCTGTACAATAACTTCCCGTGACATGAGTTATCTATACAACAAACCTGCATGTGTGCCTCCCAACCTAAAATAAAAGTTAAAAAAAAAAATTCTGGCATTTCTCAAGATCTTGGCATAAACAGAATTGGGACTTTCCCCTGCAAGGCAGCCATCACGTCTTTACCTTCAAATGCACCAGCAGGAAGGAATAAGGTGTGTGGATTTAAGTGGGGCCCTAAGGTGTGACCTCCTGGGAAGGAGGAAGGAAGTGATTAAACATCATGGTACAGGAATGCACTTTTGGGAAGGCGTCTTCCACTCAGCACAAGGCTTCTGAGAATCGCCCGTGTTGCTGCACGTATCCGTCATGTCCCCCTGTTTATGGCTAGGTGATGTATCTTTATATGAATGTGCTTACTCTCCTATCAATGGACGCCTGCACTGCTTCTAATCTTGACTTTTATGGATTAAGCAGCTATGAACATTCTTGTATACATTTTTTTGTGAAGACATATTTTTCTTTTTTTGGATATGAAGTTCTAAACAGGTAAGATACATTATGGTGGAAAAAATCAAAATAGGGGATGTGTTTGGAGGTGGGGTCAAGCTCTGCCTGGGAGGAGCACGAGGAGCCTTCCGGAGGCCAGTGACCTCCTCTACTGTGGCAGGGATTTGGGTTACACACATGTGCATATTGTCCACACTCAGCAAACATGCCGTTAATACTTGTGCAGTTTGTAAACTGCACAAGTGTACTATGAATTTTGCTTCAAAGGAATAAACAGTAAGCTAGTATTAGACTCTAGTTAATGACATGCATGCTGGCATATGGAGTGGGGAATGCACTGCCATCTGAAATTTATTTGAAATGTAGCAAAAAATAAGATGGACTGGCCGGGCACGGTGGCTCACACCTATAATCCCAGCATTCTGGGAGGCCGAGATGGGCAGATCACCTGAAGTCGGGAGTTCAAGACCAGCCTGACCAACATGAAGAACACCTGTCTCTGCTAAAAATACAAAAAATTAGCTGGGCATGGTGGTGCATGTCTGTCATACCAACTACTCGGGAGGCTGAGGTAGGAGAATTGCTTGAACCCAGGAGGCACAGGCTGCGGTGATCTAAGATTGCGCCGTTGCTCCCCAGCCTGGGCAACAAGAGTGAAACTCTGTCTCAAAAAAATAATAAGCTTTGCACAGTGGCAGTATCGTAGCCAATGAGGTTTATCTGAGGTGCGATTATTGCTAATTGAAAACTTATCCCAACACTCCGCCGTGATGACATGAAATACAGTTGGCATTGTCAATTTTTGACAGTCTCTATGGAGACTGATTAAAAACAAAAATAATAACAATAATAAAGTAAGATGGATTAAAGATGGGCGTATTGATGGACGGATGGAGAGGTGACAGGTGGTGATGGCACAGACATAGGTAAATGTTAACAGCAGACAGGTTTTCACCGGGAACCTCTTCACGCATTGCTGTACGTTTAAAAATGTGCACAATAAAATGTTAGAAAAACTGTGTTCCATTACTAAAGTCATATAGTCTCATTAACCAAAACTTGAAAAACACAAGATAGTAAAGAAGATAAATCAACCATTAAGAATAAGGAAAAGATAAAAAGCAGAAAGGCCAAGCCTGGAGCAGGAGCCAGGGAAACAGGTGAACCGACACCAGGCCAGGGGTAGGGGCGCGCGGACCCTCGTTTTGCCATCCCCACCTTCCCCACCATCACGTGAGCACTCATGGGATCCGCCCGAAGAAACCCACAAATGCGTGTGACTGCTGAGAATGGTTCTATCTCTGGGTGGAACCAAGTGAAGGGAGGGCCCTGCAGAAGCTCCTCTCTGTCCTGAGAGTGTGGGGTTTTACTGGGAAGGAATGTGCAGTCGGGGTGTGGGTCGGGGTGGGTGGCAGGGAGCACCCGCCTGGGACTCAGCATAGTCACAGGGCTCGTGGTAGACATGGACACGCACCCCTGAATCCACCCGCCTTGCAGGAAGGACGTGTTCCCCAGCTGCAGGCAGTGTGGCCAGGTGTCGGCTCTTCTGGCAGCCTGAGCTGCTGAGGGCTGCCTGGCGGGTCGTGCCATTCCAGCAGAAACCAGCCGCATCTGGTGGGCAGCGAGGCAGGAGTCTAAAGCCCTGCCCACGTCCCTGACACCGGGCAACTCCACTGGGCGTCTGCTCCACGCTCCCTGGCGGGTTAGCCTGGGCTCTGCTGGGCCTGCATCAGGCTTCAGTTTCTTCCCCTCTGAATCTCACTGCCTCCTCTTTCCTGTCCCAAACGGCCACCCCTGAAAACTGCCTTACACCCCAAACTCTGACCCAGTGTTTGCTCTGGAGATCCCAACTTGGAACAATGGTGAACACAGTCTGTCCATGTTTTTAAAGTCCTCTCTACTTCCATGGAAGAGCTGACTCGAGTAGGCTGACGCCAGGCTGGCGGATCCACGCTCTCGCCAGTGTCTGACCGTGCGGTGTGCCGCCTGCATGCCTGCAGAGGCACCACGGTTTCCGGCGCACAGAGCCTTCCTGACAACAGGGGTGGAACCCCAGCGCCCCTGCCTTCCCCGGAACAAGAGGGTCTTGACGTTCCACAAGCCAGCCCGAGGCACGCCGCTTATTCTAGAAGACCCTTGCTCATGTCAGATTAGACAATGCACATCCCCTTCATCCTCTGTCCTCCCTCCAAGCCTCCGTTCCGAATGCAGATGTATGGCGATCAGATCAGCGCCACAGGAGGCAGAGCGGTCGTGGTGTGACAGTGAAGGCGACACTCAACATGAGTGGTCCCTCCATTCCCCCAGCGCCTCATGCTCCTCCTAGACTCACAGGCATGAGCCCGACAACCTCAGGGACTTCCAGGGACTCTGGCTGCTCCCTGACTTCAGACTGGGCTCCGGCCCGCTAACTACCAGTCACCATCTAAGTCCCAGGCAGGTGGCAAACGCGCGCCTCTCAGGACACATCGCTGGGTGTGGGGAATCCCTGCCTCCCCAGAATCCATTCTTGTTTCTCCCCGCGTGGCACTTTCTCTGGCCCCCTGGTCTGCAGGAACAAGTTCAAACGCTTTGGCTGAGAACACCCTGCTCCCAGCTCCCCAGTCCCTATCACCCAGTGTAGTCAGACCACTCCTGTGGATCCTCCCAGCCCCCAAAGCACACCCGCACCCAAGGCCCTTCCTCCCATTTCTCCTTTCCTGCCTCCATGAGAGCACCCAGAATGGGTCCCTTCAGGACTTCCTCTAGCCAGGGAACTAGACTTGGAAGAGGGGCTCCTATCCTGAAACTACAGCAGGGGAGGGGCTCCTGGCAGTTGGAAGAAGCCAGAGGCCGATGGGCAAGGTCAGGCCAGAACTCCTGACGGCAGAGTCAAGCCCTCAGGACAAGCGCAGGGCTGTGGAGGGGATGGAACCAGGTCTCTGGGTGGAGCGGGCTTCCGGCTGTGCTGTAACTGGCTTGTGGCCCCTGGCTGGGAGTCAGGACCTACACGTCAAGACCTCCGTAATGGTGCCCAGGACTACCTTCATGCTGATTTTCCAATTTTACTTTCAGGTCACCCTGACGCTCTGACCTCCTGTTCTCTCGGCACAGAGATTTATTTGCGTGTTTGTTTTCCACCTGCTGTAATCAGCAGTTCATCACATGCTGCTTTATTTACTGTTGATGTACGTTATTCTTGTCTCCCCAAGGTACCAGTGCAGCTTGGAATCTTAGTCAATTTTTTTTCTTCAAATGTTCTTAAGATTTGGGCATAAAATCACCCTTTAAATACTCAGTGGTTATTTGCTTTGAACAGAGTAACGCTGTAGCAACAATTGCCTGATGTAAGGGGGTTAAGTCATGTATTGAGTGGGGCTGGGTGTGCGTCGCTGATAAACTCCTTCCATTAAGTTGATGCCCCCTTCTCGACCTGAAGGCCACCCGAAGAGGACACCCTGCATGGTGAAATGGTGTAAAACGCACGGAGGAACAGATTCCATAATTAAAACCAGACAAGCCCCTCCAGAGGCAGGAGTTATGTCTGCAAAATAATAGCCTTGAATATAAACAGGCCCAAGCCACTCACATCACATCACCTTTTGCTGGAGTGAGGCTGGACCTGTCGTCAGTAAGACTTTGTAAGGGCCTTGAACAAAAGGGAAGGAGCATTTGGGGGCAGGCCGGCAGGGAGGAGCAGCACCTTGTCTCATGCTTGGATAGAATCAGGCACCCTCTCTCTGTCAAGGGGACCTGGAAGAAGGGAGGAGAAACAGGCAGTACCTTGATCTTGGCTGCTTCCAAGGCCTTTTTGCCATCCCAGGCCCAGCCTCTCTTGGTAAAGTAATTGACTGTGGCAAACTCTATCAGCGCGGAGAAGACGAAGGCGTAGCACACGGCTATGAACCAGTCCATGGCGGTGGCGTAGGCCACTTTGGGCAGAGAGTTCCGGGCGCTGATGCTGAGGGTCGTCATGGTGAGCACCGTGGTGACCCCTGTGGGGGTCGAATGGGGCAGAGTGAAAATCGGAAACAGAGGTCAGTGCCGGCCCCGGGGACCCCAGTACAACATGCCCCAGGTGACGGACACCAAGGGGACTAGGGATTTTTATTTCTGTTTTTGAGACAGAGTCTTGCCTTGTCACCCAGGCTGGAGTGCAGCGGAGCACTCTTGGCTCATTGCAAGCTTGGCGTCCCAGGTTCAAGCAATTCCCGTGCCTCCGCTGCCTGAGTAGCTGGGATTACAGGCAGGCGTCACTACACAGGGCTAATTTTTGTATCTTTAGTAGAGATGGGGTTTCACCATGCTGACCAGGCTGGTCTCGAACTCCTGGCCTCATTCGATCTGCCCGCCTCGGCCTCCCAAGGGACTGGTGATTTTAATCTAACCTGCGCCTTCCTCTACTGTTTTGCTAACATCTAGCACATTCATAGCACTTCGATGACCGGTGACCTTCTGTGTCCTGACTGTCCCTTTCTCTAGAATGTGAACTGAGGAGGCAGGGGTTCAGGTCTGATTTTGGCTCCCACAGCCACGACCAAAGCCAGCCAGAAGCCAGTGCTCCACAAAGATGTGTGAGCAAGTGATGTGTTTCTGCAGCACTAGGGCAAGAGCGACGGCAGAATGACACTCACATCCACATGGCAGCCAGCAGGTGCCTCCCAGTGATTCACTATGCATCTGGAAGCAGTGGGCTCCCTGCAAATGTGCGACGGACTTTCACATGGATTAACCTGACCTGCAGACTTGTAAGAGCCAGAGGGCAACAGAAGGGCCGTATCTGAGTCTGGGTCTGGGCATGTCACTCCCTCAAAGAGGGAATACTGTCCCCTGGAGCCTGCTGTGTAAGGTGCTTGTGGCCACTAGGGAAACTCTGCAGTGACCACACTGCAAGGCTGGATCCCTGGAAGGGGACATTCCTTAAGACAGGAACTAGACTATGTGCCAGCTACTGGGTCCACTGAGTGTCAGACTCTGCTCTAAGCTGCATTCTGGATGGGTGTCGGGATCCCTGATTTGCAGGTGGGAAGCCTGAGATTTAAAAGTATTTAGCAAGGTGCCCAAGTTCACCAGCAAGTGGATGAGACCACCCACACTGGGAGCCAGGACTGCTGGTCTCTGCAGTTCAGAAGGTGGTCAGAGCTTCCACCTTCTGACCTTGCCCTCTCCATAAGCGTGCACCTGTGTGGGGGATGGAGGTGTAACACGCCTGCTATTGGTCACACCGTGTACCCGCAAAATTCCTAGGTTAAGTCCTAACCTCCAGTACTGTAGATTATAACCTTATTTGAAAATGCAGTGTTTAAAGAAGTGATTATGTTAAAATGAGGTCACTGGGGTGGACCCTCATCCGCTGTGACTGGTGCCCTTATAAAACAGGGAACTTTGGAGACAGTCGTGCACACAGGGAGCATGCCATGTGAGGCTGGAGTGATGCTGTCACAAGCTAGAGAGCTACCAGAGGCCAGAAGAGAGGCCGGGAACAGACCCTTCCCTTGCAGGCCTCAGGAGTAGCCAGCCCTGCCAACACCCTGATCCCAGCCTTCCAGCCTCCAGAACCGTGAGACGATTCATTTCTGCTGTCTGAGCCCTCGGTGTGTGGACTTGGTTACGTCAGTCCCAGGAAACCAGCACAGCACCAAGGCTGCATCACACGGCTGGGGTCACGGCCACCATGAGTTTCGTTCAATGCTCTACATGTACTCACTGAATGTCATTCCCTGCATGAAATCAACACTTCCAAAGGAATCAGTAGAGATCTTTGATTTTTTTTTTTTTTTAGAAATCCAGGTAATCACTGTGTTGAGGGGGAAGTCTTCTATGCATGATTTTAAACAAGCCTCTTGAGTCTTCTTCTTGAGCCTTTAATGTCTTAATATGCATTGGGAATATCCCCCCCCCAAAAAAAAATATTGACTATAACAAGCAATACCCTCCCCAGTTTTTTTCTACCTACCAACTAAATTTCCCCTAAAGATTTTCATCAGGAACAGTAACTTGGGGAGCACTACCTAGTCACCAGCCAACTTCCACACCTTCCTGAAACAATCCTGAAGCTCGCTCAGGCTTGGCAGGTGAAGCTGGACTTGTGGCTGGAGACAGAGTGATGATCAGGCGGGAGCAGCCCGTGACATTCACTCCTGAACTGCCTGAGCCTTTGGGCAGCCTACATTCTGGGGAGCATTCAGATAAAACGCACGCTAATGTTTTCCTGCTTTGGAAAGGAAAGTGCAATAGCAAATGCTTATGTGTGATCGTACTTCGCAGTTTACAAAGACGTGGGCATCCAGGATGACCCCTGAGTGGCAAAACTGCCTCTAGTATCTTCCTGAATCTGAGGACGCTGAGCTTCGATGTGATTAAGACTCAGACTCTCAACGGCGTCTGCTGCGCTGAGGTACCTCCTGAGTTAGAGCTCTCCCGCCCCACTTGGTTTGTGTGTTAGGGATGTAAAATAACGCTGCTCTAGATTTTCTTTCTTTTTTTTTTTTTTTGAGACGGAGTTTCGCTCTTGTTACCCAGGCTGGAGTGCAATGGCGCGATCTCGGCTCACCGCAACCTCCGCCTCCTGGGTTCAGGCAATTCTGCCTCAGCCTCCTGAGTCGCTGGGATTACAGGCACGCGCCACCATGCCCAGCTAATTTTTTGTATTTTTAGTAGAGACGGGGTTTCACCATGTTGACCAGGATGGTCTCGATCTCTTGACCTCGTGATCCACCCACCTCGGCCTCCCAAAGTGCTGGGATTACAGGCTTGAGCCACCGCACCCGGCCTGCTCTAGATTTTCATCCGGTACATAGATTTAATTTGTTACTACTGTATCTCATTGATTGTTATTTTGCCATTAATTTTAAAGCAGCATGGGTATTTCAAAGAACACTGCCTGGTAACTTACAAAGTCATCCTTCATGAGAACTAACATTCTACAGACTGAGTTTTCCTGTTTAAAAATCTGAAACCTGAAATGCTACAAAATCCAAAACTCTTTGGGTACCGACACAGTGCTCAAAGAAAATGCTCCGTGGAGCTCATTTCGGATTTTCAGATTAGAGATGCTCAAATGGTATCATGCGATTCTTCCAAAATTTTAAATAAATCTGATATCCGAAACACTTCTGGTCCCAAGCATTTGGGATAAGAAATGCTCAACCTGCAGAACAAAATCTCACATAAAACAGATACACGCTGACAGTGCCAAACCACACAAGAAGGCTTTTCAACAAGGACATAACCATCGAACAGACCGCGTGATATTCCTTAAACCCCGCTTTGGAGAGAAATCCTAAACCCTAATCCTCGACATTCAATTCTCAACTAATTGATCCATTTGTTTTCCAGGTCACACCACGAAGAGGCAGCACCAGAAGTTTCGTGCAAGTTGCTGCCGCTGCTGTGGGGTGGTCAGGGTCAGTGGTAAGACGCCGGTGGCCAGGCCCGGCTTGGGGACACTCACCAAAAACTGTCCTGGCTGGGACTGACTCCCGGTTCAGCCAAAAGGACACCTGTGATAAGATCACGGTCATGATGCAGGGAAGGTAGGTCTGGATGACGAAGTAGCCAATCTTCCTTTTCAGGTGGAAGTGCGCTGTCATGACTGTGTATTCGCCTGCAGAGAAGCAAATGACCACACATTAGTCCCCTAGAGTCTCCGCTTGCTGCATCCCAAGAGTTCACCCGGAGCCTCCCTTCCACTCCCGTCAGGCTGGACAACGTTCATTTGTGTGATCTGGGTTAAGGAGAGGACACAGGAGGATGCATGGATTCCTTAACAGTCATTTTATAAGTAAGTCTTATGACCCCTGGTCTCTGAAGAGCCTTTGCTGACGGACGCTCTTCCTGGGGAAAATCAGATTTGCGTGTTTTACTAATCTCCAGTCACAATCTGTGCCTCTCTCCCCCCACTCCCCTGCCTGGTTCCGCAATTAGGATTTCAGGATTTAGCCTCTCCGGATGTAACTCAGGATTTCACAGAGCCCTGCAGAGGGTGGACAGAGTCCTTGTTTCCAGCCCAGAGGCTCCAGGGAGAGGAGACGACCACTGCCATCGGCGGCAGGCTCTGTGCTGGCTGCGTCCCGGGTGCAGGGTGAGATGCAGCAGCTCAGGAGGCCCTGGACCCTGGCAGCCCATCCTTTCTACCACCTAGCAGAAAGGTGTCGCCTGTTCTCTGAAACCAGGGGCATTTCCTTGGCGATGCCCCAGTGCCTCCTCTGGATTTGCCTGGCTGTGTGGGAGGCACGAGGGGACCTCCCGTTCATTGCTGAGAATGATGCGGTCCTCATGGTGAACTGGTAAGGAGCTGAGGTGGGTGGCTGTGGTCAGGGAGCGGGAGGCCTGCTGGGCCAGCCTTCTTGCTACCTGCATTTGCCTCTCCCTGGGGAGACGGGGACTGTTCTTTGAGGGGTGCAGGCAGAACAATTCAAAGAACTCTGGCTGAATTGCAAGGAGTGGATGGTGTGGCCGGAGAGCTGGGATGCACCGTGAATGTGGGGAGAACAGGCTTGGGGGCTCCACCAGCGCAGGACCAGTCTGTCTGTTGGAGCAGTGGTCTGCTGCTGCAGGGACTGGGTGTTGGGACCTCGGAGTCTGACAGCACAGCTGCAGTGCTTACTGTTGGGATGGAAGCCCACAGCTCAGCAAAGCCCACTGCGCATGCTTTACCGAGCGCAGACTCAAAACAGGTCGTATGTCGGAGACAAAGGAACCAGAGCAATCACATGTGGCAACATCTGCCCTCTACCACCACAGGAGCCAACACTCTCAGCACAGCCTGGACAGGCCAGCTGTGCCAAGGTGCACTTTCCCCACAGTCCACGGCAGGTGAGAGCAGGTGAGGGAGCGGAGCTGGCTCCAACACCACAGGAAGAAGTGGGAGACGGGGAGAAAGGGACGTGATGGCAGTGGGGACTGGACCTCTGCTGATGCTCCAAGTCTGTGTCTCCTCAGCACTTGAAGAAGTGAAGCGGCATTCGTTTTACAGCAGGACTTGAAATTACTCTCCTGCTTCCAATTCTTTTGGCAGTAGTCTTTTTATTTTATTTTTGAGTTGAGGCTAGGAAAATTTGGCAGTGATTTTTAAGACTGTAAAATGCAAATAGGAGTAGTAATCCCAGTTATTAATATTTAAAGAACTACACGAAGCAGCTTCAAACTGGAGCGTCCCCCCTTAGCGTCACGGTTGCTTACCCCAAACTCCTGCCGCACCACCTTCCACTGGTTTGCATAAAACTGGCCCGTTCCCTCTGCCTTTCCCTTTAGCATGGTAACCAAACGGTGAAGCCATCCTCCCAGACTCTCATGGCCCCCAAGGATGCGCGGCTCGCAGGCCCGTGAGTCCATAGGGCGCTGACCCCATGCCCATGTACTCAGGACAGGCTATGCACTGAATGGCCTGTGTGCTCTGCCATCTGCAAGCGTAGGGTGCTGACAATCAGCCATGCTGATGGTGGGCTTGCCTGAGGGTGTCTTCTGGGGCTTAGAGCTCATTCTGCCCTCAGAGTTCCCTCCCTCCCTTTAGGCTTTTCTCCAAGGATGCAGAGGCTCTTTGGGGCTCAAAACCCCCTCCCTTGCTCATGGCACTGCTTGGTGACCTTGACCTCTATGGCTGGGCCTGCCTGCCCTGGAGACATCTGGCCACATAACTTGCAGGCTCTGGAGATGCAATGCATCCTGTTCCTTTGGTCTCCCCATCAACTTTGTGTCAGGCGGAGCCAGGCTGGGATGGGGCTGCACGGGCCCCGCAGGGCTCAAGCCAGCCTGGGGCACGTGGCATTGAGAGCGTCTGCTTCCTTCTTGTACATTTCAGCTCTTTGTAGGCTGCCTGGTTGTGCTTTCCCAACCTCAACTCCAGGGAAATGTCTGCACTGTGCAAAGCAGGAGGTGGGGAGCAGGTGACTGGGGTATCTGCAGGAAAATGTCTACCTTTCCTGCTTAGGGCACTGTTATATAAGCAGTTCCGCCCCAACTGCCGGCCACAGCTGGTGCCTCTGCGTGCAGCTGCAAGGAGGGGCAGGCTGGGAGGACTCCCTGCCCAGCTCTGACGCTGCTGTGGCCCATGGAGAGCGGCTGGCCAGGACAGGGTGTGCTTGGCTGCTGTGCCGCTTCCCACGTGGCCCCTGCAGAGGGGTGCCCAGAGCAGTGAGCTCTCCAAGGGTGCGGTGCCCGGCATGCGCCTGGGAGCACAGCGCGTGCCGAGCCCTCACCTGTGCTGGTGCTGATGTTCTCCGTGCCCACCGTCTGCCCCATCAGGTGGTACTGGTTCAGTCTGGAGCCATCTTCTGCCACCACCACAGACTTGGTGGAGCCGTTGGTCCAGACGTAGACGACTTCAGAGTTAGGGTAGGCATCTGCATGAGGAGGAGGCAGGAAGCGACACAAACGTGAAATCATGCCCCACTTGGAAAATGTAGGAGCTTTTACTAAGTAGCAAGAGAGGATGGGAGGTTTGAAAAGTCAGGATCATGTGACCTAAAGAGTGCGCAGGTTAACTGGACCAGAGCAGACGCCACTGCAGCTCAGCTTCTTCTCACAGGTGAGGGCCTGGGTGCCAGGCTGCTGCCTGGCGCTTCCTGGCATGTATGTGTTTCTCTGCAGAGCACATGATGGTGCAGCAGGCGAGAACACGGGCTCGGAGACTGGAGTGCCTGGGTCCCTCCAGCTCTGACTCTGTAGGTTACTTATTCTCTGTGCCTCAAACCCTGCATCTGTAGAATGGGGTAAAAACAGCACCCACATCTGAGGGCTCTGGCTATGACTGCATGGCCTACATCAAGATTTACGTGCACGAAGCACCTGAGGCAGCACCTGGCCGCATTCCCTACTCCAAGTCTCCCGCTCTGCAATAGGCACCTGCTGTCCATGCCATCCTGAGTGTGGAGGTGCTGTGGCAGGCAGGACCTGCACCCTCAGTGTCACACCTGTGAATATGGTACCTCACTTGGCGAATGGCACTGTGCACATGGAATTCAGGTTCTGGACCCTGATGTCAGCAGATGTATGGGGTTATCCCCGGAGGGCCAGCATAATCATTGCCCCCTTAAAAACACGGAACTTCTTCCAATAAGAGAGATGAGAAGCATGACAGAAGGGGTCCACTCACCACTGCTGGCTTGAGGATGGGGAAAGGGGGCCAAAAGCTGACGAGAGTGGGGAGCCTCTAGAAGAGTGACTAGGCTGGGATATATGAATCTGGAGCTGGCAAAGGTGTTCAAAGCTTAGGGTAGGAGGTTGTGGTGACTGATCAGTTCTGGGAGTCAGGGACCGTATTGGTCTGTTCTCAGTGCTATGAAGAAATACCCAAGACTGGGCAGTTTATAAAGAAAAGAGGTTGACTGACTCGCAGTTTCACATGGCTGGGGAGGCCTCAGGAAACTTATAATCATGCTGGAAGGCACTTCTTCATGGGGGGACAGGAGAGAATGAGAGCTGGCAAGGGAAATGCTTATAAAACCATCAGCTGTCGCCACAATGAGAACAGCACGGGGACACTGCCCCCACAGTCCAGTCGCCGCTGTCTGGTCCCACCCTTGATATGTGGTGATTGTAATAACCCATGGTGGGATTTGAGTGGGGACACAGAGCCGAGCCATATCAGGGACCATCTGAGAACACACACATTCATCTAAACAGCGTGTAGGGCACAGGAAACAACGCTTCCCTCTCGAGCTGATGAGGAGCTGACCAGTCAGTGCCAAATCTGCTCAAGGACAAAACGGAGCAGGGAGGGGAAGAGAGGGAGAGACGCAGGGAGGAGGACCTAGGGTCCTCTGGGAGTGGGAGAGGTCTGAGGTTGCGGGTGCCTCCTTCAAAGGCCTGGAGGGAGGCGGACAGCGGACATGAGACACAGATGGGACTCGTGGAGGGCGGAGGCTGCGGCCTGCTCACCCCTTTCCTCGGCGGGACTGGGGATGGCACACAGTCACGGCTGGCTCCTCCTGGGCTCGAGGCCCAGAGGCATACTAATGCAGGACCAGGGGCGCGGGCCTGAGCACTGCCAGCAGGGAGCGCTGTGGGGGGCACTGGCTGAGGCCGAGGCCAGCCTGACCTGAGGTCTCACTGGGCGCAAGTCCTGTGAGCCCCTTTCTCCATGGTTGGGGGGTAGGGGTTGGATGACAATCCCTACCTTACAGTCAGAATCCAATAAAATAGTCATTGTAAGTAGACAAAAGATACCTAGAATCACTGAGTGGTATACAGTGCACCATCCTCATTCAGATGATCTTGTTTTTCAAACTACTAGTAAATATTAAATGACTTATTGATATTGATGATGTTAATAGCATTAATGATGACAGCAAGAGACAATGTGGCTGCCGCGTGTCCACCAGACATCACCAAGATCTGCTCTCCTCACCACATTGAGGGTGGGAAGAAATGACCCCTCCTGTCCATTTCAGCTCCACTGTTTAGCAACCAACACTAAATTCCTTCTCGGTGTCAGCAGTGTGGTATTCAATCTTTCTGCTGGGACAAGAGTAAATGAGGCAATCAGGGTTGCAGTGGCAGCATTTGTCGTGATTTAGAGCTCTGGCAAACGACGGCTCTCCCGCCCCGACCACACATCAGCAGAGCCAGGCAAGAAGGTCTGAAACATTTTCATTTGCATTGGGCTTGCAGATTCATCCCTGTTTTCCGGGAGGCTTCTTCCCCTGGGTTGACCCTGTTTGTCCTCTCCTAACCTTGCAAATCCCGAGTGGGAAGTGGCAGCGGCACAAATTCGTGAGGTCTTACAGAAACCCTGGGTCTCCTGACTAACTACAAAGGCAGGCAGGCAGCACGGGCCTGGCACCTACTAGCTGGTGGTCCTAAGCAACTTCTTTGAGCCCTCAGCCTCGATTTCCCCATCTCCTAGGTCACTGATGACAAAGTGGATATGTGAATATTGAGTGTTTAGCACACACCTGACCCACAACATGTGCTTCATAAACAGCAGGTATCATGGACATAACCGTGTGGGAAAAGATTTCTGCTTGGTGTCAAATCTAGTCTTATGAAAAGGTCTTTCCACTTTAATTTACTTTCTTATTCTTGGTCCAAAGCAAACTCAGTTTGTGAGTCCTTGGTCAGCTCAGGTGACCGTATGACTGTGTGTTCACGACTATGAAAAAGTAGATTAGAATGGAACAGGTGCTTAGGATTTTTGTGATTTGAAAATGTATAGGGTTTGAGTTATCAAAACTTGTATCTCTCACTTTCTCATTCTTTCTTTTTCTTTTTTTTTTTTTTTTTTTTTTTTTTTTTTTTTTTTTTTTAGGATTGTTTTCTTTTCCTTTTTCCAGCTCAGATTTAGAAGAGTGAGAAGTTGCCACACATTCTTTCTTTTTCTTTTTTTTTTTTTTTTTTTTTCTTTTTCTTTTTTTTTTTTTTTTTTTTTTTTAAAAAAAAAAATTCATTTTTTTTTTTTTTTTTTTTTTTTTTTTTTTTTTTTTTTTTGAGACAGAGTCTCTCTCTGTTGCCTAGGCTGGAGCACAGTGGAGAGATATTGGCTCACTGCCTCACTGCAACCTCCATCTCCTGGGTTCAAGTAATTCTCCCACCTCAGCCTCCCGAGTAGCTGGGATTTCAGGCACACGCCACCAAGCCCGGATAATTTTATATTTTTTATAGAGACAGGGTTTTGCCATGTTGGCCAAGCTAGTCTTGAACTCCTGGCCCCAAGTGATCCACGCACCTTGGCCTCCACTCTCTTTGAAAGCCTGGGTGGGAATGAGCAAAGTAACCGCAGCACAATACCCTGTCACAGCACCCCAATGAGACCATCTGCAGCCTCCTGAGCTGAGCATTAGGTCAGCACCTAACACATCAATTGTACAACTTTGAAAAACACTAACAGATAAAGGTGTTATCTCTGATGGCCTCCTGGACACCCAATATCTCTGCTTTAAATTTGACAGTAAAAATGACATCAGTGGAATTTGGCCACACCCTTTTCCTTGCCCAAGATCAAACAGGAGGCGATGGGGATGAACAGATAACACATCTGCCCGGGTACCAATGAAACTCCACTCCCATCACTGCGCCACAGTAAGACCTCGCAAAATCACATAGGTTATGGGTGTGACCAGTCTGACACGGAGAGAGTCAGACCATGCTGTTAGTGTTTATGAAATTAAGGCCAAGATCAGGAAAGAAGGGAAAGGACTGTCCCTGTCCCAGCAGAAAAGATCCTCTGCTTTGCAGACAGCAGTGAGAAGTGAGGCAGGAGGCCAGGGGTGTGGAGGGGCAATCCCTCAGGTAACAATTGCTCACCCCTCATAAACCGTCGGCTTTTTTACCTTCAGTCCACTAGCTCCGTACCGTTATTTCAGCTTCCTCACGGGAAACAGTGTTTCCCAAGTCATCTGATCTTAAAGCTGGCCAGCTGTCTTTGAATCCCGTCCCTCTTTGGGCCTCTACATCCACTTCTTATATCTGGCCACCACCCTGCTCTCTGTTCCCTCACTTCCAACGGCTTCACAGGAATTCCCAGCTTTTGGTTTCCGCTCCATGAATAGTGATTTTTGCACATTCTTCTTCTTTTTTTTTTGTAAGTTCCGGGATACATGTGCAGGATGTGCACGTCAGTTGCATAGGTCAGCATGTGCCACAGAAGTTTCTTCACGTATGAACCCATCACCTAGGTATTAAGCCCAGCATTCATTAGCTATTTTTCCTGATGCTCTCCCTCGCCTCACTAACCCGCCGCAGGCCCCAGTATGTGTTATTCCCCACCCTGTCCATTTGTTCTCGTTGTTCAGCTCCCACTTATAAGTGAGAACATGCAGGGTTTGTTTTTCTGTTCCTGTGTTAGTTTGCTGAGGATGATGGCTGCAGCAAAGAATATGATCTTATTCCTTTTCATGACTGCATAGTATTCCATGTGTATACGTGCCATGTTTTCTTTATCCAGTCTATCACTGATGGACATTTAGGTTGATTCTATGTCTTTGTTACTGTGAATAGTGCTGCAGTGAACATATGAGTGCGTGTATCTTTATAATATATTGATTTATATTCCTCTGTATATACCCAGTGCGTGGGATTGCTGGGTCAAATGGTATTTCTGGTTTTAGGTCTTGGAGGAATCATCACACTGCCTTCCACAATGGTTGAACTAATTTACATTCCAACAGTGTAAAAGTGTTCCTATTTCTCCACAGTTTTGCAGTGTCTGTTGTTTCTTGACTTTTTAATAATTGCCAGCCTGACACGAGATTGTATCTCATTGTAGTTTTGATTCACATTTGTCTAATGAATGGTGACGTTGAGCTTTTTTTCATGTTTTTGCTGCATAAATGTCTTCTTTTGAGAATTGCCTGTTCATGTCCTTTGCCTACTTTTTAATGGGGTTGTTTTCTCCTTGTAAATT